ATAGGAAACCGAAGCCCCGGAAGCGAAGAGCGCCGCCGCCGCCCAACCCTTTCGGCGACGACACCGAAGACTCGGAGTCCACACACACGGAGTCGGACGCCAACAATACGGGCAGCGAAGAGGAGTTAAGTGCCACCGATTTGGTGGACTTCTCGCCGGTGTATCGGTGTCTGCATATCTTTGGCAACAGTTCCAGAGGACTCGCAGTACAGAACTGAAAGGTTGTCTTCATTGCAAAGTTGTCGTCAAAATGATTGATAGAACTGATGACCAGATCTCGAATTTTTTAAAATCATAATTAATAAAATTAAAACCTGATTTACTATAAAATGCGTTAATTTTAATACATCTCGGTTTGAAAATAGATATAAAATGGTAATCGGTTTAACAGGACTTAATGACCAAGAGTTGTTGTTGTTGACCATAGAATCTAATTGGAGATTTTGAAAAAACAATATCAATTAAACTTACAAATGCTATTAAAGTAAGTAATGCATAAAATTGATTATCTATAAACAAATTAAAAGCACTAAACCTCTATCATTAGCTTACTATACATTGCATACAAATTAATATACTGTACAATATATGGGAATAAATCAAATGACAAACATTTATGAATAATTAATGGCATCAACTTTTTTGCGCCGACAAAAAATAATACCATATCTCAACTAAAAACATAATAAAATATTAATAGTGGTAAAAAAATCATTGGTTGAGTGAACAGATCGACCCATGATTTTTGCCACGAATTGCATGGAAACTGATTGAAACTCACAACAAACCCCAATTCCCACCACCATATGACCCAAACATATCAATATCACAGACATATTAATACTAATGTAACAGCACTTTGGCTTTTAGTGCCACAAATGCAACACAATTGCCATTTCATAAAGTGTTTAATACTATAGTTAGCAGTGATTGTCGGATATAACACACAACTACAGTATATGCTGTATATATCCTATTAATTGATCCCAAAAACCATGGGTGGAGTTCGGCGCCGAAGAAAGTCTTCCGCCTCTTCCGATGAACTGTTAACTAATGTCAGACCACTTATCGAACCGAAGCCAAGGGTGGCGTTCGCCAGGCGTAAGAAACCCGACGGACGGCTCACTATTGGCGTACAAGTAATGTTCACACCATTTATTTTTTACCATAATTATCATGTAATCTAATCTAAACATAACTTTTTTGGTGATGTGTTTCATCAGATATCCTGTGTATTGATCGGCGTATTCCTAGTCTACTATACTTATTATCATTTCGATCACTTCCACTACCATTTAACCCATTTCTTTGCCCATCACTGGGACGACCACAACGCCCAACACGTATTGGCCCACAAGTTGCTCAAAGACCGGACCAACACTTCGGCGGCGTTTC